GACAGTAGGCTGTGGTTGGCTAAATTATTTACCACAACGGTAATGGAAAATTCCTCTTTCAACCTGTAGGGTGAACGCAGAGAAAAAAGTTACTTGGTGTTGCATTTATTACACTACAATTTGCATACTATCACATTTGATTAAACACTTTGTACTTTGTATGGTTTATTGAGCTGTTTTCTGGAGACCAATGCTGCGTTCAAGTCATCTCGTATAGATCGTAATTACGAGTTGAACGCACTTGAACGCCACCACAATGTCGTAAATACCAGTGGGGAGCTCGGGATTTTCTTTAAGCTTTGATCTGTACGAGTTGGGGGCGTGTCAGTGAGAAACGTTCATTTGACGTCTGTTGACAGTAAATTTTAATTGAATTTCAATGCTTACTCATTGACATTGTAAGGCTTTTTCATTTATAAAGCAAGCTCTCTGCACAAAATATGATATCATTGTAATATAAATATTATACCTAATGATAGAGTTTACATTGGCTTCATAAGCTAATAAAAAAACATAAAAAGAAAATCACACCTGAAAGCTCATTTTTTGTTCTTCATTTTTTTTTATTAACAGAGTTAACAAACCTTGCTGTATTTTCGTGTAATTCATTAAAAGTAGGTACACTGCCATTTTGCTCCGACGAAACTGACTTGAACGCACCTCACGTCGTAAACACGACTTCCCACCTCATACGTACGAACTCCCCAGGAGGACTTGAACGCAGCACAAGACCATTGCAGTGCTTTCTTCCAATTGAATACATTTGAATTATATTAAAGTCATACTGTAGTATGAAATGACTAGGTTTATAAGCAAGCTAAGGCCAGTGTTACAGTATCAGCTGATGAGTCGCTATGTGCCATGTACTGTACATCCTGGGAAAAACAGTGTAAAGGAATCTTACCCTTACTTGGCTTTTTACTTGGGTGAGTGTGAGAGTTGGTGGATATGGATGACCCTTGCATGTAGCATTACTTTTGATCAAAGTCCCATTAGTATAATTTATGAAACTACATTCAGCACCTCTCCTGTTTACTTACTGTACAGTACATAATGAAATATGGAGTCATAAGCTCTTTTCCAAGAGCAACCAATTGATTTGGAATGGACTATATGGGCAGCATTGCATCTGTACCACACAAATAACACTCCCGATGCCTTATAATTTGACTAAAATAAACAATGTTTGAATGCTGCACAATTTAGATGCATACATTTTGTAATGGCCTTTGCATTGTGAATACACCTGTAGACAATTAGGTTTTAGAACAGAGAAATAATGTCTTTTCAGAAGTGCAAAGAGTAAATGTTGATTCTTTTACATGAATGCTAATATTTAACTGATGAATTTCATCACACTCTCAGTAACATTGCAAAATATGCCTGTTAAATTGTATTAATCTATTCATGTCATTGTCCTCAAATGTCAGGTGTGCCTGAAGCTCATTATGATCTTGACTGAAAAGCACATCCTCGTGCACTGTTGGTGAAATGCAACAACTCCATAATCACATGCACCAGAGCTTCAAGGTTCTGGCCCGCACCTGAGGTACAGTTTATTCTAAGGGATGTTATCACGGAGTCATTCCAATGAGCAAGATGAAACCAATGGGTCGAGCGAACTACAGCAAAAAATGTCTACGAAAAGAGACCTTGGGAAGAAGCGGACCCAGAGTCCTAAGGTCAATCGGAGCATACGCAAGAAGATTCAGAAATTCCTCCAGGGCTCAGGGGAAAACACTGCCTATGACTCCAAGCACTCTCCTGTAGAGATAGAGGATGACATGTTCATCTGTGGCATTAAGAGAGACCCCTGTACTCATGAGTGCATTCTCTCGACTCAGCGTAGTTTTGAAAGTCATACCTCCAAGAGTAAATTTAGTGGGCAGGGGAGGCGTAATAGTGATGGCAATATTACAATCCCATCCATCGTGGAAATGAATGGTCCTGCATTGGAGTCCACTGACCAAGCAGATTACAGTGGCTGTGTTGATGGAAGAGGTGCCATGGATAATAAACCAAGCCAAATTAAGGACCGAGACAAGACAAGAGGAGGTGGCTCAAGCACCATAGTGGAGCACATTTTGAAGGAACTGCAAGGGATCAATAAAATCCAAGAGGAGATATCAGATTTGAGACAATACCTGACATCTGTAAGTGGCTCCGTAGATGAAGTGTCCTGCTGTGTAGATGCTGTGCTGCTGGAAATTGAGGAGCTGTACTCCGTTGGTGCTGTAGGTCATCCATCACCTCGAAGAGTTGTGGCTCATCATATGAGTCAAGATGGGCAAAATGCCGCTGCAGTCCCAAAAAGTAAAAATAATAGCCCAGTAGTAAAGCATAGAAAATTAGAGAAGAATGAAGTTAGATCCCTAGCAGCCAGAACTAACATGTCAGGATGGGATATGGAAACTGATTATCGAGATGTACCTAGAAGAGCCAAGTTAAACAATCCTAAGAGTTCTGACAACTTTAATGCCCCCTCTCCCAGATTTAAGAAGTCCAGTTACTGTCCTGTTTATGGGCAAGAGTTTACAAGCACTAGTTCCTTATCCTCGGGTCTCAGTTCTAACAGTCATGATCAAGATGGAAGTTATCATTCTAGGGAGGTTGACCAACGTAACAGTAGTTGGAGACGTTCCGAAATGCAGTTGAGCGTCAGTGGAGGAGGATGGAGTGGAGACACTGGATGGAGCGAGGAGGATTACTGCTCCTGCCAGAACAGTACAGATGAATTGGAAACTGTCGGACACCCAGATACATGGCACGGGTACAATGGTGGCGAGACCAGCAGCACACCGTGTCATTCATCACGAGGCAGCTCTGAACACCTATCCCTACTGTTTGGAAACCATAATGACTCTCCATCCAGTTCATCCAGTGTTGTAGATTGGAGGCATCATAAGAATCAGACAGTCTGTGACATTGGTTGTGACTGCACATCAAATTGCTTGTATTCCCGAAGTTCTGGATACCACACCATGGATGCATATGCTGATGAATCATGTAGTGGGCCATCCCGAAGCCTTAGTTGTTCAACTGTTGGAATGACAGACTATGATGACGGTTGCCAAAATCTACACTCCTCTTGTGAGCATTGCCTCTGTGACATGGATTCGGAGAAAGAGTGGCCTGGTGCGGTTTGCCCAAGTGTGTCTGAGGATCAATATGACCCAGATTACTCTGAAAATACAGATACTGAAGAGTCACAGCCACCTAATCTAGGATATGATGTGGTAAAGATAAATAAAGCCATGATAACCTTCCACTCGGCTCTAAAGGGAGCCTTGACAAAGCTTGACATGCATGAACCACAGTGTGTAGATGAAGAAACCAAGTCTGTATTGGCAAGTCCCTGCAAATCCAATGACCCTGAGGAGGAGAGTCCCGGTGAGTCAAATGTAGACACTGTTGTACACTCTGATGGTGCAACTTTAGATCTCAGTGCATCTCCTCATAAGAGCATCGAAGCCTCTTTCCATGGGAAGGACTTGCTGGAATTACTACACCGGCGGCGTAATTCCCAAGCCTTTGATCTTCTAGTATCTACTCCTAGCACGATTTCCCCTTCACATACTCCAACTGAATACTATGCAGTAGACCACTCAGATACTGTAGAGGAAACTTTAAAAGATCAAAAACTTTCCAATCTGCAGAGTATTCCAGTGCTTAGCCCAAAACATGTGGGTCTGAGTTCAGGAACTGTTGAGTATTATGATCACCAAATGGCATTTGGAACCGGTAATACTGAAATAAGTCCTGAGGGCACTAATTCAGGAACACTGGAGATGGATGTTAGTGCAAAACAGGTGGAGCATAGTCTTGACAATGAACCTGCCCTTGAGGACCCTCACCACCAGAAGTGCCTTGCCAATATTGAACGTGTGCTCAAAGAGAAGAGACATCGGCATAGACTATCCAGGATTGCCAATGCTTCAAAGAACACTGTCTCTGAAGAGGAATTTAAACAAGGTACTTTTTGTGGTTCAGAACTCAAAAAGCTGTCTTTTATTTTTGGTTGGTTATAAATGTAATTAAGATGAATAAAACGTTCCTACTGTTTTTCTGTGAAGCTTCCCTAATTTTAACACTGTTTATCAACTGTTCTTTTCTTTTTTCTTTATAATCCTGCTCTGTCTTACAGAGGGAAGCAGGGAAGATGATCAGGTCATAATTACGTTTTGGTCAATTCTTAGTCATTATTTCTTTTTTTTTTCATTAACGCCGGTTTTCTTTGTTTTTCCATCCAAAGTTTATTTGAATGATCATTCTTTATTGGAGTGTATGATAAATGTATGAGGCTTCCCTCTATTTGATTTTGCTGTATCTTCTGACTTTAACACTCAATGTTTTGTGTCTTTTAATGGTTACATGTGGTGTTTTGCTTCTGTTTTGTTTTGCTTACTTTAATGTGATTTGCCGTCTTTTTAAATTATTGATAATTTGACATGGTGGTCTTCATCTTGCTGCATTGTTGCCTTTAAAAACAGTTCCATACCACATAGCACATGCCCTTGGGGGACTTCAGCTATCCAGCTGTACATCTATTTATCTGAGGAAGAATGCTCATGCTATTACAAAAGTGGTTCACCTCAGATGGAAACAGTTTGCTAAATGTTTGTCTGGATTTTACTAGCGGGTTTGTCCATCATATAATTATGTTCTGCTGGCAATTTGAGAGTGTGTGTGCTTTAAAATTTAATTTATTTTTTCGCTTTTCATTCATCTTTTTCTCTGATCTAATGAGTTGCATGTCAGTCATTTGGATCAGATTTTTAAGGATTTCCATCAATGGAACTTAAAGTCTTAAAGTCTATTTTTTTTTTATTCGTTGTCTTGTTTTGGTTTGCTCTCTCAAACCTTTTGGTTAAACTCAACCAATCCTGTGTCCTCTGCATTTATCTTAGGTTATGCTCAAGTTTTATTGATTTTATTTTATCTTTGTTATTGACTGCCCCAGTACACATTGGTTATTCTAAACTGTATTTTTGATGATATAGGGCAAAGAAAAAGGAGATACTTCCAGAAATGCTTGGGTTAAAGCTGGGTAAGTTTATCTTTAGGTTTTATGGATACTGTAACGTATTGTACAAATTTTGTTATGGAATTATTTATGAGTATATAGAAATATTTATAAGAAGTTAGTGGCATTTTATTAACGTGTTCATTGTCTTGTGTATTAATTATTAAGCGTGGAAAATACTCCTTCACAATGTGTTGATATCCACAGAAATGGGAGTGGAATATTTGGAATTGACAGTATGCCCGACCTGCGGAAGAAGAAAGCTATTCCTCTGGTTAGCGATGTGGTAAGCACTCTTTCCACCTTGCATTAAAATGAAGAAAAGTGTTTTTATAATTCTCAACATGGTGTTGTTCCCCAATAGAAACATCATCAATCCAAATCCAATTTTTCTAAAGTATTACATGTTCAGTATTATAATAATAAGTAAATTGACAGTATTAAGTCACCAAATAAAACAATCTAGACAAAGACGACTTCGAGAAAGTTCTGAAAGTGAAGTAAAATCAACTCTCTGATCTCTCTCCTCCCCATGAAAACAAACATTTAAACATCTACAACTCTTTTGAATGCATTCAATCTGCATGGTCAGGCTATGGTAAGTTTTCAGAATAACCCATACAGTATGATTGAACCTAGCTTTTTGTGTATATCAAGATAATACTGCATCCACAGGGTCAGTATTGCTCTAATAGTTTGCAAATACATTTGACAGTGTACAAATAATTTGATGATTAGTCAACTTCTGACTCAGGGTGTTAAAACATGCAAAAACAAAATATTTTAAATGTCTGTCTTTTAAATACTTTAAAATACAACTCTGGTAATATCACAATACTTGTATTATTATATATGATTATGATAAAACATTTATTTAATGAATGTGTTTGCAAACCATTACAAACTTACTTGATGTACAGGCAAGCAAAAAAAAAAAAAAAAAGTCCTTTCTACTGGTTTACTTTTATTAGTTTACCTACTTTCCCTCCGACATGCATTGACCTGTTTGGGCCATCACTTTCAAAGGGCTGTTTTATAGTGGGTTGTTCTATTCTATTTTAAAAGGTGTTTTACAGTAGATGCCTCTTCATACCCAGGCTTACTAGTGATGGTTTCTTCATTAACCCCTTATTCCCTTACTCCACAGACATTGGTGTACCTTTTTATTTCTGGGACTCCCATAGTTTTCACCCTTAGTTTTGAAGTGCTCATAGGTTTAGATGTTATTTTTGACATCTGGATTCCACTTGGTTTCTGATATCTGTTTCACCTGGGTGTTTTATGGGATTTTGTGTGGTTTTGCATTGTTCTAATATCTATTCTTTGTATGACAGTCTCTGGTCCAGGCCAGGAAGGCTGGCATTGCATCTGCGATGGCTTCACGCTCCTCCATAAAAGATGAAGAACTGGTTAGTTTGTTTTGCTCTCTCTCACCATATTACGCACAGACATCTTATTAGTTTTCTAAATGTGTGTTTATCTACTTTTATTTCCAACTTCTACAGAAGAACCATGTGTATAAGAAAACGCTACAAGCTTTAATCTATCCCATTTCCTGTACCACACCTCACAACTTTGAGGTGTGGACTGCCACTACGCCCACCTACTGTTACGAGTGTGAGGGACTTCTTTGGGGCATCGCAAGACAGGGTATGCGCTGCACTGAGTGCGGGGTCAAGTGTCATGAGAAGTGTCAAGAGCTACTGAACGCAGACTGTCTGCAGCGTAAGTATGAGCACCTGTACTAAATCTGAAACAAAAGACCTGCTTTATAGTGTCCTAGCTTCACGTATGTTTGCAAGGTGGTTACACTGGTTGGCTACTGGTGCTTTTACTGAAAGCCTCCTTTGAGCTTCTGTCATACCAAAACACTCTATTTTTATTCTATTAACATCTGCCCTGTTGAACTCATTTTCCCAACTGGACTTCCTTCAGTGACATGTTGACAGGTCCATTAGCCAAAATTAAAAAAAATGATTTAGAGGTATTTTACTCACAGTAAAATAATCATCATCACAAATATGTTTTATAAGACAAGGTGTTTATTGGATTTATGAGCTTGTCACATTCTACGGTTGTTGTTTAGTGCGTATTAATATGGAATACTTTTTGCAAATAGAACATGCAATCATTTTTTAAAAATGTTTTAATTAAAGAATTCCATTATAAAATATGAAAACAATTCATTTAATGAATTACACTCACAAAAATTATTTTTATTTATTATAATAATTTTATAAATCCAAATTAATTTTTTGAATTGCTTTATTAGATATTAATGATTCTAAAAAAATCAATAATGTAACTAATTCTTCAGATCTGTGCAAATAAAACCATAATTTCTTCTTTCAATCAGGCGCTGCTGAAAAGAGCTCCAAACATGGTGCAGAGGACCGCACCCAGAACATCATCATGGCCATGAAGGATCGCATGAAGATCCGTGAGAGGAACAAGCCCGAGATCTTTGAGGTCATCCGAGACGTGTTTGTGGTCAGCAAGGCCATCCACGCTCAGCAGATGAAGACCATCAAGCAGAGCGTCCTGGATGGAACCTCTAAGTGGTCAGCCAAGATCACCATTACAGGTTCAAACGTTGATCATTAACATTGTCATTGTCATAATTTCTCATTCCATTTTAGCTCTTTAAAATTCAGCAATCTTCAGTTCAATTCTAAATGGTGCACAATGGTGACTTCCCATCTTCTACTCTGTCTGGGTTATAGTTGTCTGTGCTCAAGGGCTACAGGCTAAAGATAAGACCGGCTCCAGTGACCCCTACGTGACCGTCCAAGTGGGTAAAACCAAAAAGAGGACCAAGACGATCTACGGTAACCTCAATCCTGTTTGGGAGGAGAAGTTTCATTTGTAAGTATAATTCGACCAATCAGTGTCTGAAGTGTCATTCTTCGCTTCTTGTGCCCCAGGCTCTCTCACTCAGAATGCGTTTCACCCAGTTTTCAGTCTCGTCTCTTTTCAGTAATGGCTTGTAAAAACTTGTCTGAGTAAACAGGCTCTGGTTGAGCCACTGGTCTACTTTAAATATTATTCAGGCCAATTGTATCATAAGTTTGAATACGACTTTTAATATCAGATTCTTTCGACTATTGTAAGATAGAAAACCTTCCACAAGTTCCGAGAAACACTTGCACTTGTCCAGACAAGCAACTACCTGACCGTCTTTACTATTAGTTACAGCATAAATTAAACATGAATGAACATCAGAAGGTATGTTAAAAGATACAGTACAACTTACTGTCATGTCTCATGTAATCGATCAATCATTGTTTCAGCAGTGGAAGGACAACAAATAAATCCACTGGTAATGCTACGTTTACCTCAGAAAAGCCATTTAATGAACTTTTAAGAGGAGCATTTAGCTAAATATATGCATTATATTTAATGCTGTCAAATCGTGTCTAACATAAATTGACAGCATGTGACAGAAGAGATGGCGAGGAGGTGCATTTTTGGTTGTGGTACTTATGGGTTAGTGAGTTACACGCAGGTTACGGTTAAGGTTTGTTGCAGTAATAGCAAATAAAAATAGTTTTATAAATCCAATTAGTGTTACACCTACTTTTCTAGTTCCAATCAGGTGCTAGTTGGAAAAAAATCCACGCCCACTATTTTGCCACTATTTAGTAATTCTCTCGGAAATACGTCAAATTCATTTGCAACTTCCGGTTCACAGGGACTTTAATATATGTACACACATAGTATATTATATAAACACAACCTTTTATGTTAGAATGGATTAATCATGATTAATCGATTTGACAACTCTAAATATGTTACTTATTCTTTATAGTTTACTTAATATGATCACTATTTATTATGCACTATTTCACAATTTATTGTACGTTTGAATAAATCTGTCATAAAATTAATTTTGTATTACAGCCCTGTTTAAATGTTTATATTTCAACAACAATTTTAAGTATAAACATAATTTATCATTAAAAAAATGAATAAAAACTTTTTCACAATTTTTAAATGTTTATTTACTGTACAACTCCGTTTCTATTCAAGTGTTGATTAGTACATAAATGTGATTAATATATCATTAAATAAACTTTATTTGGTCTTGGTTTTCAGTTAAATGAAAACTTTAATTTCTGTTTTGGTAAAAAAATAAAAATCATTTTGGTGCATTATTAGTCTCTGATCTTAAACACAGTTGTATACGTGTTGTCTTCCAGTGAATGCCACAACTCCTCCGATCGCATCAAAGTTCGTGTTTGGGATGAAGATGACGACATAAAGTCACGAGTGAAGCAGCGTCTGAAGAGGGAATCTGATGATTTCTTGGGCCAAAGCATTATCGAGGTGCGCACGCTGAGTGGGGAAATGGACGTCTGGTACAACCTGGGTAAGCTAATGCTGGTTTGTGTGTTGTTGTGGCAGTGATTCTTTTTTTATATATTTTTTATGTTGAGCTTTAGTGCTCTTTCAGGAAATGTGGGTTCAGATCCAGCCTGCATATTGTCCTGATCTATCTGCAATAATGTACAATTTCAGGGAAAGGTGTTAAATGTAGCTAGTTGTTTGATTCCTGCTGCATCCAGGACATGCAGGAACTCGACTTAAACCCTTCTGCCTTACCCTGCGCAATTCGATTCAGGATGTTGGAATGAAACGATTGTAATGTTGCCTTGACACTGACTCAACAAGAGTTGGTCTGTGCTGGTGTTTATTGAGTCAGAGTAAACTAGCCTAAAGAGTAAAGAGTCTCCTCGGATGACACTGTGCTGTCATTGTGGCTTGATGCATCTATTTAATGTGTTTGGTCTTTTGTAGAAAATCTCTCTGTCGTGCTTTGACTTCGCTATAAAAGAAAAAAAATCTTTTATTTTTTTTACTAAAATATTAAACCTAAGGCACTTACAGAGCACATAACATTCACATTGACTTGTAGTCTTGTTGGTATTAAAAGGAATAGTCCACCCTAAAATGTCAATTCTGCCATCATTTACTCACCCTCACACTCAAACAACATCTTATTGCATTGTGGCAATTGCTCAAGATGATGGATGGCCACCGTGTGTAGACAACCTCTCTGTCTGTGTCTAAGTGGGATGTGACCCTTTTCCAAGATTTGTGTGTGTACTCCATTACCCACATCTCCCAACCTGACAGCACATCCCTTCTCGGCCAATTACCCCAGTGAACAGCCCAGAGGCCTTCAGGACGTCCCAACCGTGAAATCCACTGCTCCAAATTCTGTGTCTATCTCTCCCTCTTTTACCTCTTCACATCTCTTTATTATTCCGATGAGATCTAGCCTTTGTTTATTCTCTGATTTCTGCTGTCCTCATTAATACAGTCCATTTTAGTGTTCTGATCGTCTTCCTCTGAATCTTTGGCCACCACATCTGCTGTAACAATTATTCTCAATAGTAGTAATTCAGCTTCACGTCCTCTTGTCTGTTTCTCACCCATATCACCCCTCCTCTCTCTCTCTACCTCTCTCTCTCTCTCTCTCTCTCTCTCTCTCTCTCTCTCTACCTCTCTCTCTCTCTCTCTCTCTCTCTCTCTCTCTCTCTCTCTCTACCTCTCTCTCTATCTCTCTCAATTCCTTCCTTCAGAACAGAGATCCTCCTTGATTATTATGTTGCACACTCCAGTTGGAAATTCTCCACTTAGCCGACACATATAAATTATCCCAATAATTTGCCTGTCATGGGATGGTTATGCAAAGAAGAACCCGGTGTCTCTATTAAAAGACCTTCAAATGATTTTTCTGTTTGGAGAGAGACAACACGCACACCGTATTCCCATGAAAATAATAAACATTAAAATTAAAGTTGTAAAAATATGTATTAATTCAGTGAATAACATTAGCTGAAATATTAAATAGAATGACACGGCATATAACAAAATACTTATAAAGTATATATAAATATTTACTAAAATATTGATAATACTTTGGTGTATACATACTAATAATATAACACACTGGCTTGGTAATCTTACAGTTTGGATATCACCGTTTGGATTATTTGGCATAAGCAATGTTTATTAGATCAATATACATGAAACATTTGAATTATTAAAATTATGTTGTTTTTTTTTTATTTAAAGAATTTTGTTGGTCCAGTTTTATAAAACCAAACTCAATAACATCTTTGTAACACACAGCTTTGACTTGTTACTTGTCGCTTTATTTTATATTCATTAGTAGTGAAACTAGTAGTAGTTGTTTAAATGACTGAAACCAAGTGATTTTCATGACATTTGGTTATAGAACTTCTACAATACATTCTTTTTCAATGCAGAAAAGAGTGATCAAATATGTGACCTGTGTATTATTTTGTCGGCTGTGCTTATGAATTAATGATCAACTTTCAAGTGTATGATTCATTGATTCTTTTCATTTAAAATAAGTTGTAAATGCTTTTTTTTTAGACAAAAATGCATGACCGAAAATACAACAATTCAGTTGTACTGTATTTGCATTTAGTAAAATTCCAAAACCTCTAAAAATAGTAAAAATTAATTTTACTAACCTATTATAATTGAGTTTTTATTGGTTGTTCATGTACTATTGAAAACTAACATTTAAATTAAAAATGCTTTTGCAATCACCACTAATAAAAATAATAACTTGGCAAGGTATTATTGCACGTACACACACACGAATACATTCAGGTCCTATCTAACCCTGTTGCGCTTATTTTTACTGCACTGTTCCGTTGGGTTAAATATTTCTGCACGTACAGTTATCATTCATCCATATCTCACACCACAGAGAAAAGAACGGACAAGTCTGCGGTTTCTGGTGCCATCCGTCTTCAGATCAGCGTGGAAATTAAGGGAGAAGAGAAAGTGGCCCCCTACCACGTCCAGTACACCTGTCTGCATGAGGTAGAGCAACACCACAGCATCTGCCTCATGCATTTACAAGCACCAATATGTCATTATCAGTCACGGCTGATGATGTACTCAACAATATTTTCATCTCTATTCTTTCTCGTAGAACCTCTTTCATCACATCACAGATGTCCTCGGTCAGGGTGTGGTGAAGATCCCCGAAGCCCGTGGCGATGACGCTTGGAAGGTTTACTTTGACGATGTGCCAGAAGAGATAGTGGATGAATTTGCAATGCGCTATGGGATTGAATCCATCTACCAAGCCATGACGTATGTATTAGTCCTTCTATTGTCATCAAATTCTCTCCCCTCATCCTCCTATTTTTATTTGCTATATTCATACTAATATTTTATTTATTTTTTATGAAAAAACATTTTATGAAAATTCTGTCATTTATTCACAGTTTTAAACCTGTATTTGGTTACTCTTCTTTTAAACACTGAATAACAATCTAGCTGTCCAAAATTTAGAAGATCCGAAAAGGTACTTAAAGAGATACTATCACTTTATATGATGAACATATATCTCTAATCTCTATCTACATATCTCTAAAAATTCATGGATTCGTTTTACGACGCCTTAATAACCTTTTTGGATTTGATTCCCTGTACTTTAGAGACCGTCATGAGGTTGTGAGCTCTTGCGCACGGCACCAGTCAGTTTACCTGATAATCACACAGTAGCAATGATTCACGACTAGCATTTGAGCACTATAATAACTTTGACAATCAGTGAGGGTAAGTGAAGGATAAACACGTATAGTCGTCATCTCTGTGGCAGTAGCTGGATCTTGGCTAGCAAGGGCAGTAATGAAATGAACTCCTGAGTGCTGTTTGGGTCTGTGGTTGTTAATGGCTTGAGCATGAGTCAGTGTTGATCAGGAGTGTGAGGAGATGCATCCCTCCAATATAGCGCTACCAAACGGACAAATTTCACGCCGAATGGGCCACAAGGTTATTTGGAGCAATGGCAGATCCTTCTACTGCAGCCGATCAGCAGTGATTTAACTAGCGGTCTCTCAGACAGACCTTTTTAGAGAGCCATTGACTCTGAGTGAGAGGTTGTCTCAGTTCAACATTTCATCTTGATGAATTCATTTCATTTGGTTTTGTAGTAGTGTGATTGTCATTCTTTGCACAAAGCTCACTTACCCTCTGCATCTCTCCTGTCTGTGTGTGTACAGGCACTTTGCATGTCTCTCATCTAAGTATATGTGTCCTGGTGTCCCTGCTGTGATGAGCACCCTGCTGGCCAACATCAACGCCTACTACGCCCACACCACTGCATCCACCAATGTCTCCGCCAGCGACAGATTCTCCGCATCCAACTTTGGGGTACGTTCAACTATCAAACAATATTGGAATTTTAAAGAACATGTACATATTGTCCATTCTGAAGGTCTGTTCACACTTGTCAAGTTGAAGTCTCTCACAAAAACACACAAGATTTGACAAAAGCATCTCTAGGGTTGGTTTGTTTATTTATGTATTTATTTAAATTCTTCAGATGCAAAGTAATTCATTCTGGTAGCTTTTTATACACTGAGAGGAATTTGGTGTAGGATTTACTTAAGAAGTTACAAATAAAAAGCAATTAACACATTGAATTAAACATAATTTTCAAATAGAAATACTGAAATGGTATTTTTTCGTTACACTTTGTTTTATTAGCAACTTTTTACAGTGCATGTTTATGTTAACTGTCACCAAACTGAAAACTCTGGCATCTTGACTTGGTGTGAATAGGGAACATTCTTTGAATAATCAAAAACATTAATGCACTCAAAGGTATCCCAGAGGATAGGTGAGAAGTCAACTTTTGACCAACCTGTATTAATGTGAATGTGAAATAATACTTCTAAATGATGGAGGAAGTAAACACAGTTATGGAAAAAAAAAAAAAAAAATCGCCATTTCTATTTGGCTTGTTTTACTGAATTATCTTGATAGAGTTGACTTCTGATAAAGATTTCATTAGTTTTAATGCATCAGCACTAAACCTTTAAACCTGTTCAGGTCATCAACCAGGAAATTTGAAAGACAAAATCGAAAGACAATTTTGAAAATGGACGTGTCTATTGTGGCAGTCTTTTTTTATCTTGTATTGACAGACCAGCTAAGTAAAGTACCATGGGACACACAATTCAGTATCACCGACCGTTATGGATTGAACACTTCAGCTAATTGCAAGTTGTAATTATAGCAACATACAGTATACTCGATCACATTCGTAAACAACATACCACCTACACAAAACCCTACGTCAAATAAAAACACATTTGCTGAAGCAACCATGCCGTTTTAGGTTGCTTTTACAAGTCTTTGAGCTCTTTTATCATAACTCATGTTTCACTGGAGTCGTACTGTATCTCAGCTGTATCAGGTGAGATGCATAGCAAGTTAACTACATCAGAAGTGCCAAACATATGCAGCTGTTTATGTGATGCAAACATCAAAATGTATTAGTTTACAAATGGTTCACTATGGTAAAGTGTCTTGGCGTAATAACAGTAATGGATAATCTGCCGTTCTATGAAAAAAATAAGTTGTTTGTGTTTTAATGCCTCTAGTGTTCATGTCAGCAAACTGCATTGAATTGAATGTACAGTAATGGATACGTTTTTTGAGTTTTGCAGAAATGTAGGTAGAGGCAAGTTTTTCCCAACAAGCCTGTGTTGAATTATAGTGTCAAGACAACAGTGTCAGTCGTTTAATGTTATTCTTAAGTTGCAGATGAATAATAAGCTTGTTAATGCCAATAGGGTTAGTTGGCTGTATGACAACAAAAACTGGATGCCGATACATATTATAAATCTCCTAAAAGGACTCAAAAGTGCAGTGAAGTATCATTATAGTTGTCCATAAGACTGCGTTATATATCAAGATGTCTCAATTAAATATTTCCTGTATGGATGGACGATATGTCGGCCACCATATCGCTATAAGCCGATATTTTAATATTATTGTTATCGGCTCGATAAGAAAATTTGGTTGATATCTTAAAGCCAATAAATAAAACATTATTTCCTTCTGCTGAGCTACATAAAATTATAATGAAAACACTACTTTTTGAAGCTTGTTGTTACGGGTTAAGCGCTTTCAGAACAGAGTTGCATATTCGTGATTATAAGTTAGCTTGTGCATTCGCAGCCTTTTGTTTTGTTCAGCTGTTGTAATATTTGTTTATTTTGTGAATATATATATGAAGAGTTCAAATGCAAAAGCCTCTAAATACCATTTGAAATTTTCTTCTAGAATGATCATTTTTATCAAGCTTGTATATTTAAGTTCAGTGATTTCACTTAAATGGCAATGATAATTACCTATTAATTGTTATTTAAGTGAAATTACTGAACTTAAATATACAAGTTTGATAAAAATCATCATTAAAGAAGAAAATTTCAAATGGCATTTAGAGGCTTTTGCATCTGAACTCTTCATATATATCTATATATATATATATATATATATATATATATATATATATATATATATACAGTATATATATATATATGATTTATCTCATATAAGATGCATTTGGTTAAGAATTAACATGGTAAAGCGTGTGAAAATTAATTTTTAAACGTACACTGGTTCAAAATTGGCTACTGTATATGCTTTATTTCTGTTGAAGGACTTGGGACATGGCTTTTAATGGTGGCATGGCTTTTATTTTTTAAACAAAAACATTTATTGGCTTTAATATACAGTATAAAGAATTATCGGTTATCGGTAACGGCCAAAATGTTCATATTGATGCATCCCTAATTTCCTGATGTCATGGATGGCTAAAACCCTTGCTTCATTCTTCTCTTCTAACAGAAAGAGAGGTTTGTCAAGCTCTTGGATCAGCTGCACAATTCCCTGCGCATTGACCTCTCAATGTATCGGGTGAGTTTTGGTGACTTACTGGCTTTTTCATTTACAACCTATTTTTAGCTCATAAGATGGTAATTCTCAGTGTTTTTCTCTTCTCTTTCTCAGAACAATTTCCCTGCGAGCAGTAAGGAACGTTTACAGGACCTCAAATCTACTGTGGACCTCCTAACCAGCATCACCTTCTTCAGAATGAAGGTGACGAATATTAAAACCATTTTTTTATTCTCTAGCCTATTTTCCATAATTTTGTCATTTATATGTACTCTACCATTTTACTCTGGACAGGTCCAGGAACTGCAAAGTCCCCCGAGAGCCAGTCAGGTTGTTCGAGACTGTGTCAAAGCCTGCCTCAACTCCACGTATGACTACATCTTCAACAACTGTCAAGAGCTGTACAGTCGCCAATATCCTCAAATTGGAGACACGGTTAGACAGTCACTCCTCTACCACCTACCTTTATGCATACTCTCAAGATTTAAAGCTGAAATGTGCTATTTCTCTGCCACTAGCATCACCAAACACTGTTGAAAATATGTTAACAGATCACCCAGACTCACACCATTGCTTTAGGTCTGATCAGGATGTTCAAACAAACTATTTTAAAATGGCCACAACATATACACATTATATACTTTTCAGGGTAAATCTTTCCAGGGAATGAAATAAAGTATTTTAGTATTTAGTATATATATATTTTTTTTTTTTTTTTTTTCTATTTAGCTTTTTATTTTTATTGAAGTTATTTTTTTTGTAATTTTAGCACTCTACTTATTTTGTTTCCAAGGCAACATTTTTCATTTTCTTTAAGTATACATAATGTATATTATGTATATATGCGTGTGTGAGTTTTATTTTATTTCACTTTTATTTAAATTAATGAAAAACTATTTTTTGTAGTTTTAGTGAAAAAATAACACCAGTATTTTTAACATTAAAAAATCACTTTTAATGTAATACAATGAAATCTTTTCAAATTTTAATTGACTTTTTTATTTACTACATTTTAAATGTATTAAACATTTACATTTTTAATAATTTAAAATACGAATTAAAATGTATTGACAATCTCAGTGTTTCGACAAATGTAGTTTTTTTTATTGTGTTTGAATTCATAATTAGAATTTTTAATTTGAATTTGTATAATAATTATTGTTATTATTAACAATTATAATTATTTATTTATTTAATCAATCAATTAATTATATCTTTTACCATGCATAACATTCTTTTTCTTTTCTTTTTTTTTTCTTTTTTTGCCAGCATAAGGAGGAGTCCACTGCAGAAGATCAGGGCCCGAGTATCAAGAACTTAGACTTCTGGCCCAAACTCATCACCCTCATTGTGTCCATCACTGAGGAGGACCGTAACTCTTACACCCCTGTCCTAAACCAGTGAGTGTGCACACTAACCTGAACGTTTACACACCTCATCTAACACTATTGTCTTGCCACCATGTGACTATCCTTTCCTGTTTCTCCACAGGTTTCCTCAGGAACTGAACGTTGGGAAGTTGAGTGCAGAGGTCATGTGGAATCAGTTCTCTCAGGACATGAAATACGCCATGGAAGGTCAGTAACAGTTCTGTCCAATCATACCAACTTTAAACTTCAATCAAAAATCTTTTTATTTAGCCACCAAATGTTGTTCACATTCAAATATTCTTGCTCCATAGAACATGAGAAACACCGACTATGTAAGAGCGCAGACTACATGAACCTGCACTTCAAGGTCAAATGGCTGTATAACGAATATGTGAAGGATTTACCGGCCTTCAAGGGAGTTGTGCCCGAATACCCCACGTGAGTGTGCTCTTCATCATCTTAACTACCAAACGCATTCAGAAGCAAAAGCGTTTTGATAATAGTTAACATCAGGGGCCTGTTAGTAAATTTGGCTCTGTCTTTTGTTTTCCAGGTGGTTCCAGCAGTTTGTGCTGCAGTGGTTGGATGAGAACGAGGATGTGTCCATGGAGTTCATGCATGGAGCCCTGGAGAGAGATAAAAAAGATGGAGTAAGATGTTTTTCAGTGCAATTTCCCTCTAATAGCCTATTATCTTCCACAAATTATCACGGAAGTGTTTCTTGGGCTTTATGGTGCTCTTGCGCCCACAATCCGGTCGTTTTGCCTTTCAAAACCGTTGAAGAGTTCAAAAGTTTTACCACATGCACGTTTTTTTCGTAGTCATTTTAGATCTTCTGTACAAAAATGAGTTTCTTCCTGCTTGGATCAGCTCACCCTTGTGTCTGTATAATGAGGGATACATCTTTCCAATTGTCCAGTAATCGTTCTTTGCCCTTGACATTTAGCAATTGGCGAGTGTTCAATTTGGACACAAAACCGAATGGAAATGTCATTTAAATGGTGTGCTTCTATCTCCTCTACAGTTCCAGCAGACGTCAGAGCATGCTCTCTTCTCCTGTTCGGTGGTGGACGTCTTCACCCAGCTCAACCAGAGCTTTGAGATCATCAAGAAACTGGACTGTCCCGACCCCAAAGTCTTGGCCCTCTACAGCCGGCGTTTCGCCAAGGTGAACCTGCGTCCCTCCTAATCTGATTACAAATAGATTCTTGTCAGAACAAATGTCCACAGTCAGAGCATCATCTAGTTTCTAGAATTATCTGCGATTTCTGAGAGAATGGGCCATTTTTAGCCAAAGGGCATCTTTGTGCGGAGCAGATGAAGAATATCAGTGGAGCGAAAACATTTGTCTGAAAGAATGAGACGCTGTTGTAATCAAATGAAACTGCTTAATGCAGGCCTTTCCATTAAGCTTCAGTCAGTCTCCAGACCAAGACTCTGATAGAAATGCATAGTCCCCTCAAGAATGTTTATGGGACATGTGGAGGGTTTATTGGGCTGACGTCCAGCCTTTTTATGGTAGCGGGCACAGAGCGCCGAGTGCTGAGATGGCCCCAGAGAGCTTCTACTAGATATCCTGAAATGCTTTTTCATTTGTTTGGTTGGTAATGCTATTACCAAGACATTTCGACTTTTGAAAAACGTTAAGCTGGGTTCTTATTCCTTTGTCTTCACAGACCATTGACAAAGTCCTCCTGCAGTACAGTGCCATTTTGAAGAAGAGCTTCCCGTCCTATTGTGATAAGGAGAAGATTGTAAGTTGCTCTCTTGGTAGTTGACATTGACGTTTCTGTTAGTTTGCTGTCTTTTCTAATACATCTCTCTCTGCTATTTCATTTATTAAGTATTCATCATTTGGGTTATCCATTATCACATGGTCACTAAATTATAAACCATTTTTGATTGATTTATTTAATCTATTTATTATTTATAAATATTTATTTTAATAAATGCATATATCTTATTATAAAATAAATATAATAAATACATAAAACTTATGTCTGTGTGTATATATATATATGTAACTAATATAATATAAATAATATATGGATTCAAATACATAATATTAAATTATATGACATTTTAATACTTACTGCATATTTTAGGTTAAATATATATATTTTTTATATTATTATATATGTATCTTATAAATGTGAAATCTAAAATATGCACAAGTATTAAAATTACTTACATAATGTAACTAATACATATATTTATATATTGAATAAAATGTATAAAGTATATTATATTAGTTAAATCATATTGATAGTTAAAATTGTAGGTAAAAAATAAAAAAGGCATTTATTAATTTTCCACATTTAGTCTGCCTCCGTTTGCTTGCATATATATTTGCAAGCATATTTTGAGTATAGGCTAAAGTACATGTTTTTTTTTTCTTCTAATAAAGCTGTCTGTATCTCTCTCTTTGTCCTCAGCCGTGCGTCTTGATGAATAATGTCCAGCAGTTGCGTGTCCAGCTTGAGAAGATGTTTGAATCTATGGGTGCCAAACAGGTAGGAGAGCAGCAGAGAAAGGTGACCTTTCCTCTCCTCATTTGTCTGGGACATCAGAGGACATCGGGCGTGTATTCTCTCTCTGCATATTAAGTGAAATCTTTCCCATGTGTATCCGGATAGGTTTGATGCAGTAACGTTTCGCTTGCAAGGTCCTTTATTAATGATTTTAAATATCAAAGTGGTTCACAGCTGTTCATTTTTTTTCTTTGGTAATATCATTATAGTTAGCTCGCATTGCATTCATTTCAGTTCTGGCTGATGTTAAAGCAGCTTTTTTTGTCTTTCCTCATCAGATTGCCTCAGAGGAAGCCAGGGTATGACTAGACCGCACCAGAATTAGTAGAGTAGTGCTAGTTTTAGCTGTTGTGAATGTATCAATCTGACGGTTTGAATTTTCTCATAGTCAACATCATAGTAGACTTAAGAAATGTATAGCATAAAGCGTATTATTAACATATTTTTTTTAAATAAAGTTGGATTCAATAGTGGACCCTGGGGATGAGGATGTGGAGGAGGAGGTGCGTACACAGAAATGTTGTATCCCAAAATACACACATCTTTATGTGTGTTCCTAAAGGCATTTCACTTTTTTTCGTCTGTCATTGATCAGGTTATTGAGGAAAATGTGGAAGATGGCAAGGTGGGTACAAGTAGGCTAGATGTAATTGTGCTAGACATTAATAAATAATTTCAGTCCTGGACACTTTTCCATACTCCATTCTAGTGAAAACATTTATGTAGAATTAATTTTAGATGTAGAGTAGTTGCTTGCGTTTGGTTTGAACCCTGATTGGATCAGATGGCTTAGAATTTGTTTGGTTGTATACATTTGGAGTGGATGAGAGATTGAGGTTAGCGTGTGCCTGCGTGCGTGTGTGTGTGTCCTGGTAAATCCTATTTTACGGGGACCAAATGTCCACAAACAGATGGTAATACCAGTAATTTTTTACCTTGTGTGGCTTTTTTGGGGGGGTTGGGGGTTGGTCCCGATTAGTAAAATAGCTTATAAATCATGCAGAATGTTGTTTTTTGAAAATGTAAAAGTGCAGAATGCTTTCTGTGGTGGAGGGTTTAGGGTTAGGGAGTAGAACATAGTGCAGTATAAAAATCATTGTCTATGGAGAGTCCCCATAAATCCCCGAAACCCAAATGTGTGTGTGTTGTGGCATTAGTTTGAGCCTGTCTCAGGCTGATTAGTTAAGGATTAGTGAAGTCTTCTTGCTTGTGTTTCTGTGCATGAGACAGTGACATCGAGCGCTCCACATTGCTGATCTGTTTGTTTGCTTTTTGCTTTTTATACGTTTGTTAGATTCGGTGTTTGGCAGCTTTTAGAAATCACAGTTTCAGATTGTTGTGGTTGACTAAGTGTGAATTAGTTTGACGGCTCCCTTTTTCTTTGTCAATTATTTTTTATTTTAAAAAACCCTATTTTTTTTTTTTTTTTTTTTTTTTTTGTGTGTGTGTCTATCACTTGTTTTGTTTTTTCAAAAACTGTGAATAAATCTCTAGTATATGCATTTAAAATCTATACATCCTTAGGGTTAGGGTAAGATAAAAAAAATGTTAAGATGTTTATTTTCTTGGGAGTTCTTTATTGCTTAATGAGTCTTTTACTTTACTCTTTACTTAGCAATAGAAAAACAGTGTCTCTCTCTCTCTCTCTCTCTCTCTCTCTCTCTCTCTCTCTCTCTCTCTCTCTCTCTCTCTCTCTCTCTCTCTCTATCTCTCTTAATATGATATCAGAGCTGGTTCTGAAGGAAGCTTGACCCATTTCCTTTTTTCAAGATATATAAAAAATAAAAAGTACATCTCAGAAATCAAATGTATCTCAGGTTTACAGTGACATCTGCTGGCCAGATTTCTCCACAGCTCATTGCTTAGGAAGGTGGTTCATTACGAGAAGCTCGTATTTGCATGGGGGCTTCACACGTTAGCTTCAGTTCTGACTGTATGATCTGGCTTCTGTCCCCAGCTGGAAGAGAGTGAGGATGAGGAGGACGAGTTACAGGAGGTTTGTTATTGGATCATGCGTGCTGGATTCATGGTTGTTTCATCCGTTATTGTCTATTTAATCCAGAAATCTCCCAAGCGCCCCGTTCCAGCCCACAGACACGCTGCTGTCCCAGTGCCGGCAGTCGCCGTGTCTGAACTGTGTGTGAACTCCCATATTTCGAGCCTCAGCCCCTCCCCTCTCCCCGTGGAGCGTTTAACAGTGGCTCACTGTGACCTTCATTTGTGTCTGTCTTATAGGGGAATTTATTACATTCTCTTCACGATCATCTCAAACGCTCAATCTGCATTTACAGACTAAATTTCAAAGAGAACGGGCAAATAAATAATAGCAAAGGCTTTATTTAACAGCTTTTATGTAATGCACATTGGTGTTCAAAAGTTTGGGGTCAGTACGAATATTGTTTTTCGAAACCAATTAATTCCTATTTTCAGCAAGGATGCATTCAATTGATTAAATAATTGATTAAACTTAATTTTCTCCCTATTTATTCTGTTTTCATATTGAGCCTAATGGAATATCATATATTATATTCGCTCTTTCAACCATCACCCTAGTGTTGCTCCCTAAACAGCACAGTGATTGTTTTACTGTATCTCTATATGAGAGGTGGACAATTAAAGACTATTTTTTTTTTCTTAACCTTGCCCATAGATGGAGATCTCAGAGGACAAGGTGTGTATTGAGTCCCTCGAGTCACTTCTTAGAATTTGATTTTTGTCCCTGAATTTGAATATAAATGTTTTTTATTTTTTGTACATTACACTTGGTACTTAATCTTACAACATTTTTTTTATATCTATGAGAAGCCTGAGAAAGCTGACAGGAAGCAGAAGGTGAGGCACAGACTTGCTCATTTAAGCAATCCTTTTAATAGATCCAGATTTTGTCTCAACCTTCCTATTGGTCCAGAAATCAAGCTAAATAACCTTTAATTTCATTGAAAAAAATGAGAGTTAGTGCATTAGCATGACCAAGTGTTGAACATTTCGGGATTGGTTGATTGTGCTAAAGCAACAGCATTTTGGACCAATAGGACTATCGTATGCAAATTTCCCCGATTTTCATTGCCCATGATTGAGTTCAGCTGCAGTGATGACGTATTTTTAGGCCAATCCCGGAAGTTCGCATCACCCTGGTTTCCTCGACAAAAACCCATAGGATTTTTCCATTGGCTTTTGGATAATTGCAGGTAATAAGCTCTGTGGCGAAACAAAAGTTTATGATTCTTATACATTTTGTTCACCATGATGATCTTCACAATTAAACAAACCTTTTATGAATTTTAATGCCTAAATACAATCACCAACATCACTATTACTAAGGTTCCGACAACTAACCCTGAAAGTATGTTACAATAGTTTCCAAGAGTGCAGTTAATATAAACACAACGTGGGTGTTAAAGCGGAAAAAAAGCTGGTGTTCACCACAGACTTTATATCAGGCATTTAACCAAAAGCCCATTCAAAACTACCCAATGACTTCAGGACAATGGAATGGGAAACTCATGTCTTGGTTTTGGCCTACAAAATGATGTTGTTCCCTGAAGCACTGTATTGCATCTGCAGTACATACTATAGTAATAGTATCCAGTTCACCAGAATAATTTAACCCATCACCCCTCCCTCCTTTTCAATCCAGCTGATTAGTCTAGTTATTTTATGGGGTTATGACATAATTGTTCAAAATGAATGAGAGTTAAACGTGTTCCTTTACTCTGCTCTTTCTGAAGGTGGTGTACTGCAGTAAACAGGTGGGTTACGCAGCCTGTGCTGTCATACCTTACACGTGTGTGTTTGAGAACTCATAAACGGAGCACATATACAATGAGGGACTCCGGTTCTGTCTTTCTTCATTTCCCCTCTCCTCTCACTGGGACTGTGTGATTTTTCACAGGCTAATCTTGCCCCATCACCATGTTATAACCCTCTGAACTGCATCAGTGAAGCATTGGGGTTATGAGAATGGTGTTTGTCTGTACACCGGGTGAAATGATGTGACCCTGGAGAGTCACTGAAGTAATCTGAGCTGTCTGTGTGTGTCTGCAGCTGGACACCGAGGCCAGCGACATCCTGAACGATCTACAGGTCAAGCTGAACAACGTCCTGGACGAGCTGAGCAGCACATTTGGAAACACGTCAGTGTTTATATATCGTATACACATGGGTGAATCACATGAAAACAGAAAGACAGAATTCTGTCATTAATTACTCACCCTCATGTTGTTTCAAACCTGTAAGATTTCTGTTCATATTTCTTACACAAATGAAGATTTTTTTTCATGAAATCTGATGGATTTCTGTCCCTCCATTGACAGCTATGCAACTACCACTTTGATGCCTCAAAAGTTCATATTAGTCAAAATTTTCACTTTATATCATCAACAGATTGAATTTAAGCTTTTATTCACTTATAAACATTCAGAACCTATGTGGTTCATTCTCGTGTTACTCAGCACATTTGAGCTGCAAAAACCAATGAGGTTCATTCTCATGTTACAAAGCACATTTGAGCTTCTGCAAGTATCAATGAACGAAAGTCGATACGATATGAGGGTGAGTAATGACAGAATTTTCATGTTTGAGTGAACTATCCCTTTATATTCATCATAAATTGTATAAATACTGCATAGTTTCAATATTTCAGAATTCCACTATATTAATTATAATTGGTAGAAAAGTGTGTCTCGTATATATTATTACTGTAATACAGTATTTTTTTTTATTGTCACAGGAAGAAAAAACAGGTTACACTTTATTTTGTGTCCTTTGCTTCAGTGTAACTATACAAATAAGTACTGAGTAAATATTAAGAAACAATTACTGTATGGGTTTAGGAATAGGGTTCAGTTTAGGGTTAGTTGCACGTAACTATACATATTTTAATGTCATTAAAATAGTAAGTACATGTAACGTGTAACAAGTACACTGTAAAATAGTGTAATCAAAAACTAATACAATGGAATTGGTTTGTTAAAATAAGCATAAACAAAATTTAGTACAACAAATTCCATGATATAAATTGATAACTATTATTAGAAATAAATGGATATATTTATTTATCATTATATATTTGTTATATCTTCACTTTTTGTTGAGTAAAGATGTAAAAAGTCCTGATTTAAATGAAAAAACAAAACAAAAAACATGCTAACTCTGCTAAACTCTGATCTTCCTCTGCAGTTTCCAGAGCCGTATTGATGACTGTATGCGTCAGATGTCCAGTCTCCTGTACCAGATCAAAGGTCCCGTCAACGCCAACACCCGTAACCAGGTGGAGGCCGACTCTGATAACATGCTGCGGCCACTGATGGACTTCCTGGATGGAAAGTGAGTGAAAAACTCCTCACCTGTACAGAAACTACCATTACTGTGCACTTCCTGGTTTGAAGGCCTTACAAAACGACTTAAAGGAAGGCTGCAAACAGTTGGTTTGGTAAAGTCCCAAATTATTTGTTGGGTCTTATTACTAAGGTGAAGGACACACACACTGTTTACACTCGTGGCAGTATATCAGACCTCTGTCCTTATGCATTCAAGACAATGTTAGGAAAAAAAAAAAAAAACATTTGCCTATATAGGGGCTGTTCAGTGGAACATGTTAGACCGGCAAATTAAAGTAATCTTAAGCATTAATTCTTTTAAAACGAGGACCAAAGATTGGTTGTTAGAGAGGGTAGCGAAATAGAACAAGGAGACAGTTAATTTGTATAGAAAATGAAAATGTTTGTATTGTATGTTGTCATTGTTATCACACAATATGTAATTGTCCTGTCTTGACGTTATGTGTAAGAGGACCACAATGGAAATAAGTCCTGGACTTTATTGTGTTTTAATCCTCGATTATATTTTGATGCCAAAACCAAAACCACGAAGCTTGCCCTGATCTGTATGTATTTGTGAGCAGTTTGATGCTGTTTGCCTCGGTGTGTGAGAAAACTGTGCTGAAGAGAGTGCTGAAGGAGCTATGGAGGATCGTGATGAACAGTCTTGAGAAGACCATCATCCTTCCTCAGGGCAATGACACCTTTGTAAGACCTTCTCACACTTTTTCCAGACAAAGCTGTCTAAATCAATTGATTTGTCTAAATCAATTTTTTTTTTTTTAGTTTGCCAAAAATGTTAGATGGACCCTTAATGCTTAATTTTAAGAGCCAGTGGCTCTATAGGAATTATTTTAGACTGAAACCTTTTAAATGTTTCTTGTTAGAAATGCATCATCTTAAAAAGTAAAATGTTAACATGCAAAATCCTGGTTTTACATGTAAATATTTCCCCAAACACAATGCTCTAACACTTTTATCTCTTTCTGGCAGGGAATGATATTTTCAGCGGCTAAAGAACTGGGCCAGCTCTCCAAACTCAAGGTACCGCTCTAGGCTTGTTTAATCCGGACTATGATCTCTTTAAACCAGTTGAGCAAGAGAATATAGATGTAGAGTCTCAATTTAAATTCCATCTACAGTACATGTTTCTGTATGCTGGTCAGGGTTCGAAAACAAACATTTTGAACAGGAACATAAGAAAAACAAAAATGAGATTAGGTTTAATCCTCCTGAAGAGAAACGCTTATTTAAAATAAATATATTAGCTGGTTAATTATTTTATCTTTGCGTTCTGTTTAATATTTCAATTTAGCAGTCAACCAATCATGAATTCAAATAGTACGGCCTATCCGAATGTGACATCCAACGTGAGTGAAATACCTCAGGAGTTTTTCCAAGGAAATGTCACTTACTGTTTAAGCATTACATTTAAGTGAAAATGAATGTCGAGTAATATCCAGCATGGTGTGTGTTTTTAAACCAGTGAAATATAGGTTAGCATAGGACCGCTACTATTCATGTACTATTTGCAAATAATAATACACTATGTTGTCAAAGTTAGTATTGCGGCTTCATTTGTGGTCAGACACTTGCATGTGTCATTATATTATTAGTATTTTACCACAATCAAGCCATGATATAAAAATTTTTAAAAATTAAAAAAAAAATTCACCTGTGAATATCGAGGGTTTTGTGTTTTTTCTGCCGTATCGGAGGCATTAAATGCATTGCATCACGTTTTCATCAACTTAAAAGGTTAACAAGTTGTAACTCTGCGAGTGCTTAGTTTTCTGTCATTTTATACATTTAATTCATTTTTGTTCTTCTCATTTTTAAATGTATTTTTATTTTGTTTTATTTAATTGTGACCTTACATTTTGCAAATCTTCATTTCTAGTAATTGCAACTATTTTTATAATTGTGTTTTTTATATGCGACAATGTGACCTTGCATATCACAATAGCAATTTTATTTACAACTTTCGTATTTCTTTTCAATTCAACTTTAATTCTTATAATTGTGACTTTATTTCTTGTAATTGTAACTTTATATGCAACAATGTGAACTTTATTTCTCAAAATTCCAACTCTGTTTTCCTTTCTTTCTTTTTTTTAATCTGTCTTACAATTAGTATTATGTTTTACTCTGAGGCAGAAACCTCCGCCTCTTAAAACATTACCGCCTCTATTTACAAGTCAATGACATCTATTCAGTGTTCAGATACTCCTGTCCATTGAGGTGATAAGAAGCAAACTGTTGTAGAGTTTGTTTTGCATCAGAGGTTGTAAAATAGTGTTTGCCTCTGCAGGATCACATGTCTGGTGACGCAAAAAGCCTGACGCCGAAGCAGTGCGCGGTCATGGACGTGGCCCTCGATACCATAAAGGTATAAATGATGTTTTCTTTAAAGCAGCTGCAAAGTTCCATGTTTTAAAATTAATCTTTGGTTATTTACTATCCTCTGCAGCAATACTTCCATGCTGGAGGAAATGGATTGAAGAAGGCCTTCCTGGAGAAGAGTCCTGAACTGTCCTCACTGAGACATGCACTGTCCCTCTATACCCAGACCACGGACACACTTATCAAGACCTTTGTTACTTCTCAGCATGCTCAAGGTAAACACATATAGTAACACATCCACACTCTCTTCATAAATCTCCTCATCATAATAACAATATTAAAGCAACAGTATGACAAATCAGTCATCATTTGCTCATGTTGTCCCAAACCTATTTGACTGACTTACATCCAAAAGTTCACAGTTTGTTTGTTTTTTCAAAATGATAAGTTCACAGATAACTCTCTCATGTCTTCCAATTCATATATTTTATTCATATATTTTGATATCTTAAAGATTAGTTTAAGCAATGCTTCACTAGGTGTCAGTATTGAGGTGTGGACAGGACTCATTTGAATACTTTTTGTACAGAAACCTCTTGATCTCTTCAAGCTTTATCTGTCTCTCACTGCTTAATGTGGCTACTGTCCATGTTTCTCTGTTGTTTTTAATGCTTTGCTTTTTATCGTTGTCTCTTTCACTGCTGCTTCTGTCTGTGTCTCTGCCCCAAGTGCATAATGGGAAGGGTATGAGGATAACACCTAGTGAGAAAATGGAGCCCTCCAGGGGTAGGTCACCACAGAAACCTGAATACCCTCACAGCCCCCTTCTCCAGATCGGTTCCTACATTTGTTTTGCGTTCATTTGCCCTCTAATGGGGTGAATCTCACAATTACCATGTCAAATTAGATCAAAATCTGTAAAATACATAAATTTTATTTTGCGTGAAGAAATTTTAGGAAATTAAAAGTCGCCATGAAATGGCTTTATGGTTTTTCTTGATGTATTTCCAGGAAGTAAGTAGTTTAGTTACGTCACAGCTATGAGTCCTGATTTTAATCAAAGTAATGTGGTATTATATATTCTAGAAAGCATTTGATTGGACAAAATGGCACATAGAAAGTATATAACGAACTGGCAAAACATGAGGGCAAGAGAACACGTATAAAGGGTGCTGAGAACAAGAGGGCATGGGGCGTGGGACTGGGAAACAAGGAGACAGGAATAGAGGAGCACATGGCCAACACATACAAAGACAGAGCCATATGTTCAAGCACAAAAACATAAAGACATGTAACAAAGATAACAGACAAAGCTCCCAGGGCAGAAGCCTGGCACTCCCACTGTAATTTAGGCCCTGCGTTCCCTTTGCCATTGTCATCACTTTCTATTTATGTAAATTGGGTACAGTTGGTACATCTTTCCTCCGTTTTTTTAGTGCTTTCATTTTTCTTAAAGGGCTCATCCATGCAAACTTCACTTTTATGTGGTGTTTGCATATAAATGTGTCTGCATTTTTTTTTTACTCCTCAAAAAGTCTTAACAACCTCAATAATCAGGCAGTTTGGATTTTCTGAGCACTGTGATGTCATAATGCTCATGCTCCGCCCACGACCACTGGTGGACTGTCTTGTATTAGCTTATTTTTGCCTTCAGCCATTTAACACCCCCCATTAAAGAGAGGGGTGGGGTGAGCAGTTGCTCATTATCATTTAAAGAGGCATGCACCGAAACGGGTCACTGTGAACAAAGCTGTTTTTGAGGAGGTAAAAAGGGTGTTGTTTTACTCAACCATTGAGGAATTTTAACTAAAGTATATTACAAACGTTACACCCTAAAGAATCATACCAACTAGTGGAAAATGGGCATCCGAGGACCCCTTTAAAATCTCCTCCACCGTGCATGTGAGGGCTTTGTTTCACTGTGTTTGTGTGTGTGTCTACCTACTTAACTATAATTTTGTACTCCAAAGTGAACTAAACCTGACAACCTCATTTTGGGTATAATGTTTCTTTCTTTCTGGTTAGGTTAATTTATACTGTATTTAACTGATTAAAAAAACACAAGTCTATGGATTTTCCAAGTAAATATATCTGTGTGTGTAGGCTCAGGAGTTGATAAACCAGTAGGGGAAGTATCCATACAGATCGACCTCTTTACTCACCCGGGCACTGGAGAGCATAAAGTTACAGTTAAAGGTATGTCTTACTGCATTTTTATCTGTTTTAAATGAGCTTTTAAATGTTCCACAAGTGTGTTGTCTGATGGCGGAATCACATTTTTCTGTGTCTAGTTGTGGCTGCAAACGATCTGAAGTGGCAGACGTCTGGGATGTTCCGGCCGTTTGTGGAGGTCACCATGATCGGCCCTCATCTCAGCGACAAGAAGCGCAGGTTCACCACCAAATCAAAGAACAACAGCTGGGCGCCCAAATTCAATGAGACCTTCCATTTGTGAGTGCAAAACCTAGTCATTCAGGACAAATGAGATTAATGAGCAGCAGTGCAGTAAACAATGATGCGTGAGGAATTAAATGAGACCACAAAATGGATGCATCTCTCACTTTCACAATTGTGGATGGATGGATGGATGGATAATAGGTGAATATATGGATAGAAGTGTGGATAGAAGGATGGATGAATGGGTTCGGTACGTAACTTGGTTTTCGGGTCACTTTTCGAAACAAGTTCGATACAATAGGAAAAATGGTCACACTTTAGGTCATGTCCAAAAATCACTATTAACTATGACTTTAGCCTTAATAAACTCATAATGACTGCTGCTTATTAATAGTTAGTAAGGTAGTTGTTCTCTAGGTTCCGCTCCATTTCACGCACAGTTGAGTTCGCAAGCCTTTCAAAGTATACTCCTTTGTCCGTGAGCGTGGAAAGACGCATCCGATAAGATAAATAAATGGATAAATGGATACATGGATAGATGGGTTGTAAACAGTGCAAGTAAATAATGAATCCCCCCCTCTCTGTCTGTACAGTATTCTTGGGAACGAGGATGGGCCGGAGTGTTATGAGCTGCAGGTGTGTGTGAAGGACTACTGCTTCGGCCGTGCGGACCGCGTGGTTGGTATCGCCGTCATACAGTTGCGTGATGTCGCACCGAGGGCCAGCTGCGCCTGCTGGTGTCCACTGGGACCACGGGTACACATCGATGACACGGGCCTCACCGTCATGCGCATCCTCTCCCAACGCTCGGGTGACGAGGTGGCCAAAGAGTTTGTGAAACTCAAGTCCGAGACCCGCTCGGCTGAGGAGGGGAGGTGAGAACGATCTTTGACAGCCGAAGATAATGTAAGACTCTTTTAGCTGTTGATGGATAAACAAAGGCTGGATTTCTACACAGTCACCTTTCTGTGTCCACATTTTTGCTGCCCACTAACACACACTTGTGTACCACAGAGAAGGGCTTTCAGCAGCCATTTGACATTTTATAAAGGGCACTGTTAGTCTAAAAGTGAATGGGGAGTCATTCTGATAAAAATGTTTTTTTTCTTCATATGTTGAAATACTATGAGAAACACACTCACACACCAAGCGACTGACAAACTAGCAAAGGACTAGTCAGGGTAGATGACATATTTGATGAAAAGCGAGACTGGGTTGTATTTTTTGCCTAATTATGTTTGTTGTCCATTAGATATTTTTTAGAAATATGCATTTAAGTGAATATAATGAAAACAGACCACATTTACCCCAAAACATGCAATTAAATGTAATATAAAAATAAGAAATTATTACATTTGAAGAATTTTACATTTATAAAATGAATCCTGTTTAGGACTGTTTTGACATTGACATTATTTTTCTTGACTCATTTCACACCTTAAATTCTAATTTATATGTATTAATTGTTTTACTAATAATCGCAATGCTGATTTTCATTACATGTAAAATTGCAGGTATTTAAGATGGAACAACAAATACTATGATTTATTAATATATGAATACTTTAAAAATACTTCAATACTTGAAAATAATTCAGTTAAAATAAATAATAAAAAATGTCACATTGCAAATAATCTAAAATGTTATTTTAAAAATACCAGTGAAATATAATTCCTTTTTTTATGAGATGCTTCCATTTTGCCATTTTTAAAAAATGTTTTCATTAATTTAATAATCAACGTCAAGGCAAACAACAGTAAAACCAGGCATGTCTCTCTCACAAACATTTTTGTGGAAAAAGTTTGTCTATCCCTGACTTAAGTTCCTTTGAGTGTCCAGAATGTTTGAATCTGAGATTTGACCTCCGACCATTAGATGGCGCTGTGAGTGTGCGGGGACATTAGTTTGTAGAATACAGAGATTCCACATCCATTCATGCACTTTTTCTCTGTTACCCCTTTTGCATTGTGTTTATTGCCTTATTTTGTTGATGCTGTGAATGTGTGAGTTTGAAAAGTAATGATTATGATTGTTATGAATGTTGTGGCTCCTGAGACACACAGTGTTAGTTTCCAAGGGGCCAGATCTCATTCACTTGGTGTTGTGGAGTGATTCGTTGCATGAATCTGAATAAGTAATCAAAACCGACAAGTTTGTAGAGGGATATCAAGTACATTTCACATCATCTGCTTGCACATGACTCATCTGTCAGCCGAAAGTGTGCCTTTGCTACGGGCTTTGCGGCCTCTCAGATGATGGATGACCTGTTTGCACCTCAACTCACAAATATTCTGCCTCTTACGGTCACCATTCGTTTCAAAGTGAGCGGTACTTCAGCCATCGTCTATGTCCAGTAGGTGGCAGCAATAATCTCAAGGTCACGTTTGCACCTGCTTTTTGTTTATGTCCTACGAAAGACAATGCAGCATCATCGGACAGTATTGAAGCTAAAACATGTGAATGCTTTATGGGGTGTCGTGTAATACTTTTCAATACTATTTATATAGTGGAATGAGAGTGCTGAAAAATCAGCATGAACTGGAAGAGAAAATAGGAAAGTTAACAAATATCTGATCAAGCTCAAATACGATCACTGATCAATTAAAGATAGTAGTGAGGTTTCTTTTTCGTTTCAAAGCGGCCTTATTTTATTTGCTCTGATATTTTCTATTTAAATGATTTTAACTATTTTTTTTTCTTTTAAGTAAATATGGGTGTCTTTTTTTTCTGTGAAGTCTTGTTACTCTGTTTCTTTGTTTTGCTTGACTGATTTATTTTCTTCAGTTGTTCATTTGAGGAATTTTTGTACTATGTTGTGCTTTGTTTTTCCAGAAATGACTCAAAATGCAAAAAAAAGCAACAAACAAACAGGAAAAGGACAGTAACACTAGATTCGTCCCTTTGTTTGTTGCCTGTGCAAAAAGTCTCACCTTTTTAAACCAAATTTCTTGTTATTGTAAATTATTGTATTTTTCACAAGCACTGCCAATATGTAAAATGTATGTTAATATTGCCAATCATTATTGTAACTGTTAAACCTGTTATTTATTTCTGTACATTTCTCACTTCTAACTCTGTGTCACTTTATATATTGTTACCTTTGTTTAGGCCAGCAGTGTTTGGACTGTATTTTAGAAGAGAACTGTCACTCTTTGTAATATACACATTCCTTGTGCCAACTTGTGGAAGTTCTCACCTTTTTTCAAACTCTTGAAACAATACTGACAATAATCACTGAGTTTACTCACATTTTTAAGGTATGTAGGTATTGTACACGGTCACTGACAATGAAAAATGTGTTAAAATGTTTTTGTGTGCGCACTCAACAAATAAATGTATGTATAAATTATCTTAAACTAATGTTTGCTTGATGTCATTTAGAAAAGAAATTGTGTAATGGGCAGTTTATTTACTTCGTTATGAGTACAGTAATGTATGTGAAAGATGGGGCTGCACGATAATGAAAAAAAAGTTACATTGTGATATTTTGTTTTTCTACGATTATACTGTACATGTGCGATAAGAAAACAATTCACTCCATGACTTGAATAGCTTTATTTGGGAGAAAGGAATCATTCTAGAATGATTGGGGTGATTTTTGTAGGTGTGCAACATTGAAAGTAATAAACAAATTAGATAAAGCATAGTTAAATACGTACAATAAAACAATGATACACATGAAGTAAACAGTGCTTTGTTTTTCAGGTAAGTCGAACAGTTTTAGGCTATAGAAATTGAATAATCAAATGTAAAGTAACTGCATAGTCTAAGTTAAAATTAATTTTTGTTAAATCTAGAAAATATTTAGATTTTATTTTTGTTTTCTGCTGTTTGATTAACATGAATGACAACATGAGACAGCAGCAGGAAAATTTAGGCTGCTGTCACTTTAAGACCGAATGCACGGATCCGATATAATGATTAGCATCTGTTTTCCTTCTCATTCAAGTTAGCGAGAGCCATAAGCGACTGTGTTCCCATTCAGTCAGTTCACAGTATGTAGCGAGTGCTCGGCAGGGTAAACACAGTGCACTCCTTTTTTTGTTTGGGCCATAGAGAGTTGGGACTATGGTGTGGAGGCCGAGGAGTGTCAGTTTAGTGTTCACGACATGGTTTCTCTAGCTGCCTTAAGTCTAGGTGAAACTTTGACTGTCGGGGGATGATTCTTTCTCATGCTCTATCAACATATATTTTTTTGAGCAGGGCAATCTATCCGGGGCACAGAACATTTTTCTGAGGTCTCCGTTGAGGGGCCCCTAGTACCACACATATTTGCAAGATGTGCAGGAACTGTTGGTTCTGCTGTGCCATCAGAGCGCAGACCTATTTGGGCGGCCTGCTCCTGGCTGAAGACAGCAGGGAACAAGCAGTGTTACAAACACATGCACTTGTTTTACATTTACAAGCTCTGGGATTCCAGATTAATCTCAAAAGGGGCTGTTATATCTCAGTATGGAGATAGATTCAGAACCGAACACAGGGAAGAAGATTTTCGTGGCTCTCTGGCTCAAGACGGGTGCTCATGGCCTCTACCCTGGATGCCAGCCCGAACTCCGCCCACAACATTTTTTGGTCGGGAGGTTCGGTCTGGACTCGATCCATTGAGGAGTAATTATGATCAGGCAAAAAAGGATCGGACCAATCAGATTGCCAAGGCGGGCTTACGATGATGGACAGATGATCTGCCGGGACGTAATCATCACGTTATCAAAGAGCGCTAACTGGTTTCCCTCAGAGATGACTGCAGCTGGAGAATTGAGATGTATAGATTCCGCTGTCGCGTCTGTTTTTAAAATTAATCAACAGTGCATTAATTTTAATAGACAAACAAAAAACTGCAATCAAGACATTTGTCGATCGGAAAGATATTCAGCAAAAGTGAAACTTATCAGCTGGCTCTGACGGTCGCTAAGTTAAGAAGATGGGACGTAATGAAAAGCATGTGGTCGTTGTGGTTTCTCCTTTGGTCGCACTCATGAAGGACCAAGTGAAAGAAGCAACACTCGTTATTTTACTTTCTAAAATAAGTAAGTTCTGTTGTTGACAACTATGCTATGCAAAGTATTTGACTTACTGCGTTGCTCTGGGGTGCGTTTCCCGAAAGCATCGTTAGCCAACTATGGTCGCAAGTTCCGTCGTTACCAATAGAGTTCAATGGAAATTGCGACCATAGTTGGCTAACGATGCTTTCGGGAAACGCACCCCTGATTGGTTGTAGGTCTGTCTGACTATCCAATTGAGTGCAGAGGTTTTTTTTCCCCCTGGTTTGGTTGAGACACGCCTCATAATCAAAGCCCAACGGAGCGGTCTCAGACTCATATTCTGACGAGAATATGAGTATGATGAAGTCAGGCTACATGGCCTCGATAGCAGGTGCACAGCTGGATTCTCTTCTTTGTGCGTGGGTTCCAGCGCTTGGCGCTCGGTAGCTTGCTGTATGCCATGTGACTAATTTATGTTAATGTCAATAGCGCCATTGTGTGTTCAGGCCCTGATCCCCTTGGAAGCCTGAATCTGTTGACAGAAGGAATTACCCTGGGCAGGGTTATGTCATGTGTAGTAGCGACAACAAATGTGTCACAACACAGGCTAGAAACCCTTTAAGGGGAGAGTGGTGCTGTAACAGCCTCACATACATACATTTTTTGGAGTAATTCTCCTGAGGCTGAAACTCTTGCCCCAACAGGGTAAACATATACACACAGTAAGAATGCAAGGGGTTACTCCCTTTCTTTCTCTGCTACAGTTCGCATAGACACTCTTGATAAGGGGCAGACCTACAGTCTCCCCTGGAGTGGCATGTGCTACCCTTGATGTGGATCTTCTTGCATCTACAGAAAACATGCCACACCCACTACTTTCTTGATTGTGGAGAGGAGTACCATACAGTGATTTTGGTGGCATCTTGCTGCCCAGCGAAGGCATGGTGTGTGAGCATCATGACGTTGCTTTTAAGGACACTGTGGGACTTGCTGTCCCAGGCAGGAGGCAGATTCTGCACCCTCAGGTGGTATCTTGTGTCTACCTGTTGAATGTGGGGAAAATCAAATTGTAGCAACTATACAGAAGCGCTTGCATTTTGAAGTATGTTGCATTGCTTTGAAGTAGAGTGTATTTGAAGCTTGGTGTGGCGAAGATCTGAATACTTATCAGTGCCTGATTGAGGGGATATTGTGTTCTTTTCGGAAAGTCACTCCCATTGCATGCTGGAAGTTTAATGAATGGCTGTTTCGGCTTGTCATGAGGGCATTAATGGTGCTGCACCAAAACACGCACCTCCTTGCCTTTCGATCCCTTAAAGGCCTGGGTATACTATACAGAGTGCAAGCCTTTTAAAGTATAGTCCTTTGGCCGGGTGGGTGCAAAAACGCTTTAGGCACGTGCACTCAATCTAGGGGATTTTGATTTTAAGGTGCTTTAGTTTTCAAGTGCGCTCTCTCCTATAGCTGGTGTGTGTTGAGTATACTGGTGCCGTTTTTCTGAGGCTGCCGCCGCATCATCCGAGTGGATGCTGCACATTGGTGGTGGTTGAAGAGTGACCCTTGAGATGATTGTAAAGCGCTTGGGGTGTATGGTAGTACATAGAAAACATCCTATATATATAAATTCCTCATTCATGTCACTCGCACATGCGCTGTTGTGCACACTTCCTCCACCCAGTCACAAACATTGGGCTGCACACGGACGGTGTGCACGGACATTTGTGGACTCACCTGATGGTGATAATTACGTCACACGGACCATCATGGAACTTCCTCGTTCCACTTCATCTTTCACGCAGTTGAGAGCACAAGCTTTTCAAGGTACAGTCCTTTGGCCATAAGTGCAGAACAACTCATTCAGCACGTGCACTTGCTAGTGGACTTTGTTCCTAAGCAATCAAGTCATACAAGCGCTGTATGCCATGGACCCTTCTGTTGACAAAAATGACCTCATGTGGATGGCGCCGTCATGGTAATGGTGCCGTCTTGGCCTGATTATAGACCTGGTTGTGTGTGAACCTCTGTTTGAGACTGAATGTAAAGATGTTGCCCTATCGTTGGTACTGGCAAAGCACATTGGTGATCTTCATGGGCTGTCGATCCCTTTTACATCCAATTTGCGTTTGGTGGTGTTGCGTCTGAATGCGGCATATACGCCTAAAGTCATGTCGGGAGTGTGCTCTCGTTTGAGCTGCCTGCCCTGTAAAATCTCTGACTCAGAGGAAGACGGGAGACTTGCTTCAAGCCCGCTCGGCTGACCAGTCTTTTGTCATCTTTTCCAACTCAGCAGTTGGATAGGTGTGTGCACTCTACAAGGGCGTGGAAATGTCATGATTTAAGATTTTACTATAGATACCAGTCCGTGCTCACCTCAGGGATTTTTTTAACCTGGAGCTGTCTTTCTCTTAAAAACCAACGCAGTCTCATCCCAAGACGTCATATAACTAACGTCTTGCGACGTCTTTTGACCATACGTCAATATCCGCCTTTTTAGGGCCCCCTTAAACGTCGGGAGATGACGTTATCGGATCCTAACTCTACCCCAGACCTAAACCTAGTCACCTAACTGACGTTAAAGGTAAAGCGTCAGTTGTATGACGGCCCGGGATCTTCATCTCCCGACGTTTAAGGGGGCCCTAAAAAGGGCGGATATTGACGTATGGTCAAAAGATGTCCCAAGACGTCAGTTATATGACTTCTTGTGATGAGACTGTGTTGTAAAAACGGGATATATTGTCCTTTAAGTTAACTTCAGTGACTTTGCAGGGTTTGAATATATTTCCCATAGTCATGTGTTTCACTCTTCCCTGTCTTCAAACTACACAGTAGTTATATGCATACAGTAACTCAACGTTTAGGAGGATACTTGCCGAGGCATTTTGACATAATTTTGTGTGTATGTGTCCGTCAGCACAAATAGACTCGGTGTTCGAGTCTATAGAATTCGGTGTTCATGTCTGTGCTGCACAGAAAACAGGACGCAAGTTCCGAATTTTCGTCTCTTTCGCATATCGTCTTCTGCTCGATTGATTTAAAATCACTTGAATGTTTAAACTGACAGGACGTAAAACACATGCAAATGATAAACTTTCACTCTATGATGGTTAAACTTAACAAGTAATCACGTGCGTTTCGATAAGCTACGGTCCCCCTACTATACTTGACATTGCACATCCTACAATCAAGACTATGGTATGACTTGAAGACTTGCAATATAGTGAACAAAATGATATGGATAGTGTTTTTTCTCCTCCCTTTGTAGCATTATTTTGTCCCCATTTACCTTCATGATTTGGAGAAGAACAGCATGAACCTAACTTATTTTGTCGTCCATTGATCATACAGGTTCAAAACCTCATTTGGGTAAA